TTAATGTAGCACATCCCAAATTTACGGGGAACAACGGTTATTTTGCTAATATTGTATGTTTTTTCAGTAAAGATACCTGTAACATTTTATTCATGTGTTTTAGGGTAAGAATTCGATATCAGATCTTATGGAAGTGGCTGTAAATTACATAACAGATACCAAAAAGAATATCAAGAAACTAGGTTTGCAGAGAGAGAAGCTAAAGATGTTGTCTAATTCAGGCAATCTCAGTGCCAATGTTGGAAGTTCCTCGAGTTATTCGCCTGATTTAGTCACAGTGAACCCTTGCTTAGATGGTGTGGAAATTCTAATCAGCAGCTTCAAAGAGGAAGGGTCTCCCCTCTCCAAAGTGCTTACTGAATTAATAGGGAGAGGGCTTAATGTTGTTAGCTGTTCTTCTGAAAAAGCTAATGAAAGGTCCTTCCATATAATTCAGTGTGAGGTATTTACTGATACAATTTGTAGGAGTTATTGATATCGGGTTTGATTTCTCATACGTTTTATTCACATTTTCTTACTAATCATTCTTGCAGGCCAGTGGTCTCAAATGCAATGTTCTTCCTGCGCTGCAAAGAAGACTGACAGATGTGATTAACCTTGGTTGCAAGACCTCTTAGGTAAGTGCGTACAGAATACGAACTCTTGACATGGATTTGTGTCATTAGTTTCTTAAGCATTTGAGTGGTGGTAATTCTCGTAGGCACTTATTCTGTGTACTTAAAATTTCTACTAGCTAGATGGATGTAATTTAATGGATGTCCACTTACTTTGGCAGTTTCGAGTGTGCTAATATATAATCCTTTGAACCTTGCGTTGTTATGATCTGAAATGAAATTCTTGTTAGATTTGATTAAATTTTCTTTATAGACCGCATGCAGAAATATAGCTCATATGGATTTCTCAATCTTGTGTATGTATATTGTAACTCGTTGGGAATCTTGACCAATTTCATGATGCATTCCCAGGATCCTCTTCCGATTAAAGAATAAAAGCACGGGCAAAAACACTATTTATGTGAAGGGCTCTAAAATAAAAGAAAAATCTCGTGATGTAAAAGATGGAATTTCACTATATCCAATATTGTACATCAATGACTCAATATTTCTCACACCCCCAGAAAAATATTATTTTTTCTCCCATATCCTTGGAGACAATCAAAATTTTTATGCATTTTTTTCCAAGTACTCCCTTATATAGATCTATTGAACCACTCCTTTTTTAATTTTAATAGATGTTAGCCAATTAATTCCCTTGATAAAGGGAAAAGACTACATGAGGAAATAAAAGTTCCTACCATGAGGAGGAAAAAACCCTAACTCTCATATATGTTTTCTGCTTTTTGCTCGTACATTATTTTGATCAATTTGGAAGAAACCTTTTTTTTGTGTCATATGGACGGTTATGTTAACCCCATTAAAATGGCAAGTTGATCAATATTTTGTGAATTTGCACTTGCATTACATTCTCTTGTAATTTGATGAATCTCTACGGGGATGGGTTTACAAATCAGAAGTCTATTTCTATGCCAATATTTCACTGCCTCGAATTACTTAATCTGCACACCAAATATATACAAGACAATGAGAAACAAAGAAGTATTTAGGGAGACAATTTCCAACGGCTAGTGAATGTTATGGAAAGAATTATTTGTTATCTACTTTATCTCGCAGCTGATCTTGTGATTTGATAAATTCTGTGAGAGGCTCTACATATATAACATTTTCTCGCAATGGCATTGAACTATTTTTTGCATGAAGTGTTAGAATCTAGGTGTGACACGAATTCTTTGATGAAAATAATTGAGAGTTCTAATTAAAGTGCATATTAAGAAAAATTCTAATTGAAATGCTTTTATAATCTTATTCGAAGTCTATTGGCAAATTTTAGTTGAAGTTCTATTTGGAGATTCTATTGGGAGTTGAAATTTGTATTAGACTTAAATAAATCAAG